AAGCAGCCTATGTTTGTGCTTCTATATAAAGATGCTTATTTCAACACTAACGAACTTAATGATTCTTTGCCTAGTGTTGTTAAATCTCTTTTACAAGACTTCAAGGACATGTTTCCAGAGGACATCCCTAATGGTTTACCACCAATAAGAGGAATTGAGCATCAGATTGACTTCATTCCAGGTGCAACAATTCCTAACTGATCAGCATATCGAAGTAACCCCAATGAGATGAAAGAACTTCAAAAGTAAGTTGAAGAGCTCATGAAGAAGGAGCATGTGAGAGAAAGCTTGAGTCCATGTGCAGTTCCAATGCTACTTGTGCCTAAGAAGGATGGGACTTGGCGTATGTGCGTTGATTGTCGCGCTGTCAACAAAATCACTGTAAAGTATTGTCACCCTATTCCTAGATTAGATAACATGTTAGATGAACTACATGGTTCTTGCCTATTCACTAAAATTGATTTAAAAAGTGAGTATCATCAAATTAGGATGTGTGAAAGGTGCGTAACATGTAAACAAGCAAAATCTAGAGTTTTACCACATGGTTTGTATACTCCCTCACCCATACCTACTGAACCTTGGGTTGATATATTTATGGATTTTGTTTTGGGCTTACCAAGGTCAAAAAGAGGCCGCAATTCTATTTTTGTTGTTGTTGACAGGTCCTCGAAGATGGCACACTTCATTCCATGTCATAACACCGATGATGTAACCAATATTGTTGATATGTTCTTCAAGGAGGTTGTTTGTTTACATGGTGTTCCAAGGACTATTGTTTCTGATTGCGATGTTAAGTTCTTGAGTTTCTTTTGGAAGACCTTGTGGGGAAAGTTGGGAACTAAGCTATTGTTTTCAACTACTTATCATCCACAAACTAATGGACAAACAGAAGTGGTTAATAGGATGTTGTCAACCTTATCGCGTTCTATTATTCAAAAAACCTTGAAGAATTGGGAAGAATGCTTGCTGCATGTTGAATTTGCTTATAATCAGAGCGTCCATTTAGCAACTAATTGTTCACCATTTCAAGTTGTGTATAGTTTTAATCCACTCACCCCTTTGGATTTATTGCCATTACCCATTGATGAACGAGCAAGTTTGGATGGGAAAAAGAAAGCTGGAGTGGTTAAACAACTACATGAGAGGGTGCGACAAAACATAGAGCGACGAACTAAGCAATATGCAAATCAAGCCAATAAAGGGCGCAAGAAAGTTGTGCTTGAACCTGGAGATTGGGTTTGGGTGCATATGCGGAAGGAGCGATTCCCTGCACAAAGGCATTCTAAGTTGCAACCAAGAGGTGATGGACCATTTCAAGTAATTGCAAGAATAAACGACAATGCATACAAGTTGGAGCTTCCTAGTGAGTATAATGTTAGTGCTACTTTAATGTTTCTGATCTTTCTCCTTTTGATGTAGGTGACGATTTGAGGACAAATCCTTTTGAGGAAAGAAGGAATGATGGGAATCAAGATGACCCCACATGTACCACGTCAAGAGTCCATTACACATTCCAAGAGGTCTAGTCACGAGAGTTAGGAAGATGTGAGAAGCTTTAAATGGCCTTATTGAGCAGATCTAGGTTGATAACAACATGCAACAAGTAAATCGAAACTTGGAAGATTATCAAGGCATGATGTTTCATTCAGCTTCAAGAGAGGCTTAATTGAGGTAATTTATGCTAAATTACATAGTTTGCATCAAAATCCCACAATTCTGTCGCAATTTGTAACAAACTGATATTTCACGTTATTTTAGGTTACTTTTAGTGATTTTCACGTTTTTTATATTATTTTGGGTTGAACATTCATTTATTTGAGGCCCAATTTGTGGTTATTATGATTAGTGCTTAGGGTGTTAGTTTCCTATTCTGATTAGAATTACTTTTCCCTATTTAAAGGGCTTATAACCCTAATTGGGGGAGGCGATTGAATTTGAGTTTTTGAGAGACTTTTCTCTTTGGTTCATTTCAGAATTTTACAGAACTTATCAAGATTATTCTTGTGACATTCTAACCTGACTTATCATTCTTTTTATTAATCGTTCAAGGGTGTGGCATCAACCAACATTATACCTCTAGTTCTTATTGCGTCATAGACAAAGGGTCAAAGTTTGTACCTTTGGTTCTTGTTTTGACATAAACAACGGGTCAAGGTCCTATCATAAACCTAATTTAGCTTTCCTGGAGTTTAGGAATCCCTTGTCGTGCTATGGGTCTCATTAACAGTCTTTGAGGTTCTCATCACCCTTTTTTCTTCTTCTCCCACTTTTTCGCGAAATTTCCTTTTGCTTGCAAACCTAACAATGAAAGTAAAAATTGAACATATTAATTAAGATAAAAACTAAAATAAAAATAAAATTTTAAAAATTTTGAGTTATGACAAGGCCCAGCTCAAGCACACCACAAGCATAAAGCTAAATAGGCTTCATGGACCCCATTTGAAATGCCGAGATCATAAATTTTCATGCAAATAAAAAACAAGATGAAGTTGAAAAGGCCAGCGCCTATGCGGAGCCCAATTGCCACGAGGGATCATAATAAATATTGTGACTTCCACCAGGACCATAGCCACACCACAAAAGAATGCCAAAGTCTAAAGTCTGAATTAGAAAGATTAGCTCAAAAAGGAATGTTGAACGAGTATATCCAAAAGTTCATTAAGGAACAGGGGCAACAGGCCTAGGGATCCTGCACTACAAGTAACAGGGAAGGAGTGAGATACCAGCAAGCACCACCACCTCTCCCACCCCCATCTAGGATCATTCATATGATAATTGGCGGGCCTGACGCAGGAAGAACGAGCTCCAAGCAACAGAAGCTGTACCTAAGAGAGGTCAAGCACCAGAACTGAGCTTAGAAGCAAAAGATCGACGATGTAGAATGGAGGAATAAACCCATAACATTCATAGCGGCCGACCTCGATGGGGTTGTCACGCCATATACGGCCCAAACACATGACTACGTGTCATGCATTTTCACTTCGGTTATGGCCCAAACAAATGACCTCCTCTCATCTTCGTGACAACCAAAACAACAACTCTCTAATCATTCACAAGTGAATGACTTTGAGGGGGAATAGTGTAAGGACAGGGCCAACACAACGGTTACATTGCGAATGCCTGCACCCAATCACTAGTCTCCACCTAACCCTCTATCTCTAAGAGACCTACTCCGTTAGAATACACCACACTCATTTAAAGCGGCTACTTCGTTAAGGCACGTTACGTCAACCAAAGACACATGCCCCGTTAGACACATCACATCACGATTATGATGATTAAGAAAACCACATGGATGCCCTGTCAAGACATACAAATACAACTACACATGGCTCCAAAGAGGTATGATGAAAAAAACTAGAGAAAGAACTCTTTTAATATTCTCATTGAGAGCATAGACCGAATTGTTGCTAACATAAGCATTGGAGTGTCTACCCTGAGGGCGACCCTCGGGGCTTTGCAGTTCAGTCTTGTGAGAAGGCCACAACAAAGGAGGTCTCGAAGGTTTGCTACATCAACAGAGCTAACCTATCAACAATGAAACCATAAATGCAGCTCCCAAAATCCTAACCAGCCTCCCTTTTGGCAAACTCGATGATTTCGCCATTGTCAACACAAAAACTCCCAAGCCAAAGAACCTCGCAAAACCCTCATCTAAAGACTTATTTATACTCTTCAGAAAAACCCTATCCTGTCACCCAAAACCAAGCCTAACTCTAAAATAAAATGGAGCTAAACCTTACCTAATCCAATTCATGTCTGTTGCGGAAAGCCCGATGGTGAGGGTTTTTGGGCCAATTTGCAAGAGAAGTGGCCTGGTTGCTTTACAAACACACAAACTGATTCCCAGTTACACATGGATCTCTAACCAGTTCAAGTGCAACTGGTGAGTTACCATTTTCTGATCGTCGCCGCCATCGTGCGTAGGCATGACCACCATCCTCGATCAATAGATCAAGCTTCAACCATTTTGATTGCATCTTTCACTCGCTTTTAGCCTTCTCTGGTGACTGTGGATTCGAGATTGAAGATGGGAGGAAAAATAAAGTAAGAATCTAGAAGGGGAAATCAAAGATGGAGGGTAAAAGGTGAAGGCTAGGATGGGGATTTGATGGTTTTGAAGCCATGATCGCCAGTGATTCTTTTTCAAGGGAGGGGTGTCGATTGTTTTGGGGAAGAAGAAAATCAAGTAAGAGAGGGAAACCGAGAGTCTATGAGGAAGAAAAGGAAATCCCAAGGTTTTTTTTTTTTTTTTTTTTTTTTTGGTGTAGAAGATAAACTCATGCTAAGAGAAGAAAGGTGACAATCACCAGCGATCTTTGAGGAAGGGGAAATAGCTGTCGGTTGCTTTAGGGACAAAGAAGGTTCAAGAAGAGAGGGAAATCGAGGATTTGTGTGAGGAAGTAGAGGACTTAAGCTTTTTATTTATTTATTTATTTTATCATTTTGGCATGAAACAGTGAGTTTTAAGTTTGAGTTGAGTTTGGATAATTAGTAGGCTCAATTTGGGCTATATTTGGGCTGGGCTTGAGATCTTAATTTTAATGCATTTCACCCCTTCAACTTTCCATTTCTTCAATTGAGTCCTCTGTCTTAATTTCTTTTCCACCTTTTTGTGAAATTTCTTTTTTGCTTACAAACCTAACAATGAAAGCAAAAAAGAAAACAACATATAGTAGTTAGAATAACAAAAACAAAAATTAAAATTAAAATTAAAGACAAAATAAAAATAAAAATAAAAATGAAAATTATATTAAAATTTTGAGTAATGACAAGTGCATTGTAGGAATGGATGTTAACAATGAAATATTAGACTTTTTGAACAATGGAGAGTTAGATCCAAAGCTTAATAAGACATACATTGCAATAGTACTGAAGAAAAAAAAAAGGGGACTAGCTATGGTGGACTATCATCCAATAAATCTATGTAATGTGGTCTTCGAACTGATTACAAAGGTGTTGACAAATAGATTAGAAGGGGTTTTACCCCATTTAATTTTAGAATGTTAGAATGCTTTTGTGCCAAGCAGGATGATATGTGATAATGTGGTGATTGCTTATGAAATCATCCATCATGTGAAGCAAAAGCAAATCGGAGGTAAGGTAGAGGTGGCTTTAAAGTTAAATATAAGCAACGTATATGATCGAGTGGAGTGGGACTTTCTTTTTGACTTGACAAGAGCTATAAGTTTTCTTGAAATTTGAGCAACCAAGGTAGAGTCTTATGTGAAAATAGTCTCATATTTAGTGCTGGTTAATAGGGAGCCATGAGGATTGATTCTCCTTATAAGGGGCTTACGACAAGGGGATCCTTTGTCTCCCTATCTGTTTTTGCTATATGTAGAGGCTTTATGAGCTATGTTAAGGGATAATGTGGAGAGAGGATTATTGCATGGAGTCTCATTGTGCATAGGGTGCAAAGGGTCTCTCACTTGTTTTTGCGAATGACAATTTATTATTTAGGAAGGCATTTGTTCAAGAGATGTGAAGAATAGCTAATATTTTGGAGGAATATGAGATGGCCTCAAGTCAAAAAGTAAATTTCAATAAAATGGCAGTTTATTTTAGTCCAAATTTAGATGCAACTAAGAGATAGAAGGTAATGTTTGAACTACATGTATCTAAGGTGCTACAAAATGAATTTTATTTGGGTTTACCTTTGATGATCGAAGAAATAAAATAGTATGCTTCATAGATGGGGAAAGGGTTTAGAATAAAACAAAAAGGTGGAAAACAAGTTGTTATCAAGAGTGGGTAAGAAGGGATGTTATTTTACAAGCCATTCTGATAAATTGTATAGGCGTTTTCCCATTACCAAAGTCATTTTTATGAGACTTGAATCAAATGATATGTAGATTTTAAAAGGGAGATGATAAAGGTAACAAAAAGATTCGTTGGCTTCAATGGGAGAAGATGTGTAGCCTAAAGGGTGAGGTTGAGCTTGGTTTTAGAGATTTTGAGGCCTTTAAATCTCACATTACTAACTAACAAGCATGGTGTTTAGTTAATCAGCCCAACTCTTTATGTTTTAAATTATTAAGTGCCAAGTATTTCCTAGGTAGAGACTTCCGACATGCTTCATTAGGCTTGTTTCCTTCACAAAGATGATGCATTTTATTGAATGGATGACAGATACCTACGAAAGGTTTTAAGTGAAGGGTTAATAATAGCTCACATACTGCATAAAAATTTTATGATTTGGTTGGCATATAAAGTAGTTTGGAGTAAGTTACGTGTGGAGAGGCAGATAAGAGGGTTAAAGATGTTTTGGAAATCACTATGGAATTCATCTTTACCTCATAATCTCAAGAACTTTTTATGGAGACTTGCTTGAGGGATATTGCTAGTGAGAGAAGCTATTGTCATTAGAGGGATAGAAATTAACAATAGTTGTGGCGTGTATGGTGCTAATCTCAAGAGTTCGAGTCATGTCTTCTTTAGTTGTAGGTGGAGTCAACAGTTATGGGAAAAAATAATGCTAGTGTTAAAAGTTTATGTTGCACATATGATTTTGATGATTACAAAACACATTTGAGTGACTAATTGGTTCGTTTAAGTATGTAGTTAAATTGCTAAAAGATTGCAAAGTAAGTAAATTGAAACCTACAGCTGGCTCAGGTGAAAGTGAAGTGCAGAAAGCTGGTTCTAAGAGCTACAACTGACTCTACAGGAGAAAAATTCAAGTCCGTTGTTTGGTGCACATGGAAAACAAACGCAAAGTTGGCTTTGACTTTGTAGCCCGTTGTAAGGGCGCATTTAATGCACAATGGTTGAGTTATTTGAAGATTAATTAATGTTTTTAAAGTTAGAATCCCAAAGCTGGCTTTACACTTTACAGCCGGCTGTGCAAGAAAACCAAATGTGCAGGAAACCCACAAAGCCAACTGTAGAGTTTTTAAGCTAGCTGTGGAGCCGACTATATTGACAAATCTACAACTTGAAATTATGCGACCTGTAGAGCATTAATGACTCCAACGACTAGTAACGGCTATTTTTTACCATGGAGTTATAAATATGGTTGGTAGAAGATCTAGAACAAGTTTAGAGAGCATTGTATTGAATATCTTTACCTACCAACTTGTACTTTAACTTGAAATTTTGATCTTTGAGAGATCTTTACTTGTAATCCTCTTCTTGTTCTATTTGTAAGTGATCTTGGAGGTGTGATTATTCCTTCAAGAATGATTTTTAGAATGGATTGTTTGAGTTTATCTTGCAAAGGGGTAAGATTTGAGACAAATACTCATCTTCTTGTAAAAGGATTAAGTGACTCCTTTAAGCCACCCTTGTGCTTGATAGTGGAAAGTGTGAAGGAAATCCTTGGTGAGTGAAGCCAAGGTAGAGGACTAGGCTCCAAGAGGACCAACCTCTATAAAATCATTGAGCAAGCTCTTTTTCCTTACTCTCTTTAATTCTTTGTTTTGTGGTTGCAAAGAGGAGGAAATTTTTGAACTCTAATTCACCCCCCTCTTAGAGTGCATTGAGCCAACAGTTTAATGTTTTGTAGCAAAGGAATTTGTGGAGGATTTGAAATGTCTTGCATTACCTTTGGGTGCACAATAGTTTCTACTTTGTGGAATTGTTTTTTAGGTAATTTAAAAGCATAGAAATCAATTTCTTTATGAATTTTGTTGTGGTTCATTGGAGCAAAGAGTAAACCAGGTCCAGACAATGGTTAGAGAGCTAATGTAGGATGAAGGGTGAGATAAGAGAAAGAGTATAAGTATACTCCTAGATAGTGATTGGAGGTTTACGAGCATAGGCATTGTCAAGGAGAATAAAGATGCTTCTTTCCTGATGAGTAAAAACTTGTTGAAATGTGGTGTGGTCATTAGGAATGAAGAGAGGGATCTCCATCATAGTACAATTAAGTCTAATAAGGGTAGCTTTGCAATTGTGGAGCGTAAATTGTTGATGTTGGCCTACGGGATTATAATGGCAATAGATTTGGGTTAAAAGTGGTAAATTTTTTAAAGTGATTCTAGTCAGGGTATCATGAAAGATCAAAAAAGATATGCATTAGTCCAAGGTTTTGGTGTAGTTATTAATGAAATATGTTATACCCTAAATTGAGTCCTATAAGAATTAGGACACGTGGAGGCATTCTAAAAGAGTTCTATCAAGAATAGGTAGCTGAACTCTTACTAGAACTAGAATACCCAACACCAACCCAAGTAGAATTGTAATCCTAAGGTGATTCTATGTAATAACCTATAAATACCCCAATGCTAGATCTAGAAAAAGGATTATTTTTTCTTCATTCTCTCTCTATTGTAAGCTTTCTCCATTCTTGATCAATGAAGAACTTGGTTCTACACAATCTTTCATATTTTTTAGTATTAACAACATGCATGATTTATTAACTAGTGTGGACAACTTTTCCTTTTCTCATGTTCGATGTAAAGCAAATGAATGTGAATGTAGAGTTGCTCAATTGGCTCCAAATGTAGGGGGTGAGAGGATTTGGATTGGAACCACATGTGGTTCTTTATCCCCTGACTACAATACCCATATTTCTAATTAAGGAGTGGATTTAATTTATTCACATAAGGATGTGTATGCAAGAAGGTGGAAATATAAGACTTATGTGTTTAATGATTGTAAGGTTAAAGGAATAGTTTGTAAAATGTATAAATTTAACCTAAAAACCTAAAAATAATGTTGCTTATTCTGCATAGCCTCCTCCTGACGTTAGTTTCCCCATTTAGGAGCAATAAAGAGACTACACAAAAGTGGGTGAACATAGTTGCCGAATCAATTCAAGGTAATTTTCTTAGTTTAATGCTGATTTCTTAGTTTAATTCAAAAAGGTTAAACCCCCAATTTCGAACCTCAACCATTGTACAGGCCCCCAATTTAGTCCCTAAACTAAAAAAATTCTTGATTTAGTTCCTACTATTTACCAATTTGGTCATAAGTTGGTCCTTCCATTAAAAAACAATTGATATGTCCGCTACTTAAGAGTAGAAAATTGTTACTTAATGACCACGTGTCACATTAATAATGAGATATGTTATCTGTTTTTATATGACAAGACCAACTTGGGGCCAAATTGGTAAACAGTAGGAATCTGTTGGAATAGACCCAACATTCAACTTGGGTTGTACATAATGGGCCTAGGCCGGTCCCCATTAGCCCAAAAGGATGGAGCACCGGTACAACAAGTACAAACATACTCATGTGGACAGCGCCACGTAGGCCAATCAGATGCTTACATGTACCAATGCATGTCAACACTTGGAGCTATAAATACCCCCCAACTACCTCCAGTGAAGGTAATTAATCTCTATGCTTCTCTCTCTGCAATTACTCCTTGAGAGCATCTCTCTCTAGAAGATCGAGTATTACTAACTTGAGCGTCAGAGTGTTTTCCCTGGGGAAACATCCTCAGGATTTTTAGGTGTAGAAGCAGCTAAGGACTTCAATAGTGTTGGACTATGAAGCTGCCCAAACATTTGGCGCCATGTAATATCCCAAAATTTTGGGGTATTTTAGCATTAAATTGGGGACTTATTTGAGGAAAAATATTGTTTTGGGGCTTAATCGTAAAATTTTTAAAAGTTGAGGGACTAAAAAGAAAGGAAATTAGGATAAGGATGAATTGCTTTTTCTTTTTCTTTTTCTTTCTTTTCTTCCTCACAGCCGCGTGTTTCTGCTTCTGCTTCCCTTCCTCCCCCGACCCTCTGCACCCGACGAGTCCCCCCAACTACCGCCACCCATTTTCCGGCCGAAAATCCGGCAAAGCTTGGGGATTTCTCCCTATTTTCTTGTCTTAGAACACCTGTTGAACCCAGAAAATCCCAGATCTGTGTCTTCCTCCCTCTGCTGTCCGCCGGCTTCAACTTGTGGGTTTGAAATTTCTGGGCATTTTTCGGTAAGAACAACCTTGAATCTCCCTTTTCTCTCTTGATTTAGGCTTGGGTTTACCTTGAATTGTGTTTTGGTTTTTGGATTGGGTAGCCGCGAGTTCCCTTGCAGAATTTCTTCTTCTCTGCTGTCGGCTTCTCCCCCCTGCTAGGCTCGGTTTTTGCTTGCTAAATTTTGGTAAGTTGTCGGCTTTTCCGAGCTTAAAATTACCCATTTAATGGCTGGGTTTTGTCCATTAGTTGATGCTCTGTATTGTCCGAATCTGCTGGGATAGGGGATGAATTTGGCAGCCCTTTTAAATGCGTTTTAAGCTTGATTATGTAGAATTTAGCTTGAATTAGCCGCTGTGATGTTTTGTGTGAGAAATCCCGTGTGTGTGAGTTGTGATTTGCCAAAGTCATGCCCTCCATGTGCTGCCCGTGAGATTGGGAAAAAAATTTGGTAGCTTTAAGGTATGTTTTAAGTGTGGTTTAAGTAAGAAATTAGCTTGAATTGGGTTGTTGTGATTTTGGAGAAAAATCCTATGAGATTAGTTATTGTTTTGCCAATTTTGGGAGTTGAAGTTACTGTTCATGAGGTACTGTTCACGGGCATTGTTCACGGGCACTGTTCACACACCGAGGGTTAACGATTAACGGGGATTTAAAGGTTTAGTTTGTGATATAAGAATGAATTTGGAGATGTCCGATTATGTGGAGATTGATAGAAATAGCACTGTGATTAGGGGTAGTGCTAATGATGATTTTACT